AGAGTTTTCAAATAATTCAGTTCCGGGTGCAGGAACACTGTAATCAAGGCTATCCTCAGTTGGGAAAGCAAGATCTCTTTTCCCTAGGTGACATAATATTCTCTTGTGTTAGAATATTCTCCTAGAATTCATTTACACTCCTGGGCTTGGGCTCTGACAGCCAGGGACCTTTATATATCTGGTCTTCTATTTCTAATGGCCATCCTTTTTGCAGAGCAAGAAATAAATACAAACCAAATTTGAACATTTAAAACTCAGGACCAGAAATGTAAGGGTCTGCATATCTTACTTTGTTTAAATTCTCTTTTCTACACCCAGAGCCTTGGCTGACTTAATAGGGGAAACATCTTGTACTTAAGAACCTCATATGGGAAGCAGGGAATACAGTGAGCCAAGATCCCTGGAATGGAGTCAGCAACAAACCCATGTAATCAAAGTGTCATGGCTTTGTTTTCCTGGATGACAAAGCCTTTGAGGTATCATTTGTTCTTGTAGATACTGTGTCATATTTCTTCTCCTCTTGGTAATTTTCTTTTTGCTTTGAAAATTACACTTGGGCAGAAAAAACATCTTAAGAAATGATTAAAATACACAATTTTTACTTACAATTGTTTTCCTATGCACTTGGATATCATATTATGAGTCTGAGCCAACCTTGGAAGACTTTGACAGTATGAGTGTCATGACAAAAGTTTAAGTACATTGTTAAGATAACCACTTACACATAGGTCTAGAGTCCCAAAATTAGCTCACATGGTGACTGAAACCAAGAATTGGTCATTCCCTGTATAATGCAGAAAGCTTTTTACATTTTTATCCTGCCACCTATGTTTGCTTATTAACCTATTTATAAATTACTAAATATACTCATTAAGAAGGGTACGGTGATTAGTATGTCAGAGAAAAAAAAGTATCTTAATTTTTTTTCTTTAATCAGCACACTTCCCACTAATCTCTTAGGAGATTTAGGTTGATTTGGACAACAAGGACTTTGCATCAACTGTCCTCATGGACAGAGTGACTCATCTCTTTCTTCTCTGAATAATGAGCAAGTGGCAGGGCAACAGTTTTCTAGTGGTGTTGGTGGAAGATCTGTTCTTGCTTGCTGTTATCTTACATGTCAGGAGCTGGCACAGGCTCAGGCTACTGAAATTACAATATTAATGCCACTCACTGTTTACAAAAAGCGCTGGCCACAAAAGTCCAAGTCTGGATTCTGCTGCTATCCATTTACCATATGTTTGATTTAGGATTAGTTGGTATCTGTTTCAACTTCCTTATATGTGCAATAATTTCTTTAAAAAATTAATGCATGTATTATATGAGAAGGAGCCTAGAAGTTGGTACTTGCTATCAAGTCTGTAAACTGTATAAAGCTGGTAGGGCTGTGTCATAGACTACGAAAGTACTGACCAATTAGAGGAGGGAGCTATGATAATAGTGAATCTACAAGAAAGAACATAAAATTCTGTAAGTTTTTATTGATCTAGACCAGCATGAAAAGAGTGGGTCATCCCTACATGAGAGAAGCTACGAGTTTCCGGCAGCTCAAGTAACAAGGAGCTGACTATGAAAATAGTAAAATATAGATACTTAATCATTAGTTGTAATCTCAACAACACACACACACACACACACACACACACACACACACACACACACACACGTGCTGCATGTAAATCCAGAAAGTTAAGCAGTCTAATGAACTCTGCCATGGTTGCATCCCATCTGAAGCTCCAGGTTCAGCTCCCAAGCCAAGGCACTGTCTTTTTCAGAAGAAAATTTATACAGCACAGCGTAGCCTGAGAAAGAAATCACAACAGTGGAATGCCCTTACAGGAGGAAGGTAAGGAAGCTATGGATAACAAGACCAATAAAGGCAAGCTGCTCAAGTCTAAGCACTCAGCAGGCAGAGGCAGGGAGGTCATCACAAGACTACAGAGTAAGATCTTAGAGAGGCAGAGGCAGAGGCAGAGGCAGAGGCAGAGGCAGAGGCAGAGGCAGAGGCAGAGGCAGAGGCAGAGGCAGAGGCAGAGGCAGAGGCAGAGGCAGAGGCAGAGGCAGAGACGGAAACAGACAGACAGCTAGATAGACAAAGACATCCGTGTGTGTGTGTGTGTATGTGTGTGAGTGTGTGTGCATGCGTGGTCATGTGCACACAGAGACACAGAAAGACATACACACATACAATTCCTCTCAAGCATATAAAGCAAAAATGAAGTTGAATATGTGCTAAGTCCTTACTATAAGCAAAGTAGTCACTTATCATTTTGCAGATGAGAATCCAAAAGCACCAGGAGACTTAGTTACAGGCTTAAGTTAGATTATTGGCAAGAAGATGGAGTTAACTCCCCTCCTCTCACCAACCCTCCCCCACACAGTCTATCCCTAGTTCTTGGGCAGATAGGGCTATTTATAAATTATTTCTAGCCTTACAGGATTGTGGTAATTGTGTATACCCCTTGTTCCTCTAAAGCCCTGCATTTGCTTTAACCAATGAAAGTGGAGCTTCCATGACATTCATTACTACTGCAAGAGAGTTTCCATATCTGTGTGCAACTAGCCATAGACTCTTTCCACTGCTGATGTGTGGTGATGATCTCTGGAGCACAATCATGAACAGAACTTCCTTTGTGACCCTTGTAGACAACAGGCAGGTACAAAAAAAGAGAAACGGTTGTTGTGGAGCCAATGAGGTTTAGGGCTTGTTACTAAGCTTTTCTTTCCTTTTCTTTTCTTTCTTTCATTTTTTTTTTCAGACAGACATGAGAACCAGAAACACATACTTGAAATCTTTTAAATGTCTCTAAATAAGGAAATGCTTATTTTAAGAACCAAGAGCAACCTGCAGAAACTATATAGGTAGGCACATTGGCTAACTTTCTAATCTGAGATGTTCAGAAGTTGCTTCATGAGGTAGTGGGCTCCCCGGTGATGACGGCAATGTTTAGGCCAGTGCAGATGTCAGTTTGCATCAGTCTAGCAAAACAGATGTTTTAAATAAGGAGTTTTAATATCAAACATGTCTCAAACACCTCCAATATGCCAGGCATCCCAAGCACAGAGATAAATCCAAATGCACAGTCCCTAACTTCAAGGGAATAACCACCAAGTACAGAGCTAGATAACCTCTGTGTTTTTTTTTTAAAGCAGTGTGATTAAAGAAAATTAGAGATAATAACATGGCCTGCATGAAGCAGACAGCAAGCCTGAACTTAAAAACCCATGTAGCTCTAGAAACCCTGCTGATGTCTAAGTCGTATTATTATTTTTCAATTAGGAGCCAAAAGTATAGAGTTTGTGAAAGGAACAAAACGAGAGAATTGCTGGGTTTAAAGGAAGAACATTTTCCCTTTCTCTAGTTACCATGCTTCAGTCTTGCAAACCAAGCATATTATCTGGCTTACATCAGGGGTGTTCCAGCAAGGGGAATATACTGAGTCACAGCAATTGTTTCTGACCTTTTCCATACCCTCCTGCTCCCCTCCCTTCATGCCAGGAAAGGAACATTTTAAGAGTGACAAAGTTAGACATGTAGAGAAGCAATTACCTTTCTATAAAGGGCTAGTCTTCAGTTGAGAAATCTGCCAAAACCTTTCTAAAATACCAGGCGCTTTCCCTAAAAGGGCTAGTGGGCCAGGCCTGCACGAATCTCATATTCAAAGGAGGGCAAAAATCATGAAGTAGATGAGTAATCCAAGGGAAACTGACATTGCCTTACAAAGGACCCCTCTACACAGCACTGGCTTCCGCTCTTGCTTTCACTGGTTGGTAACAGTACTTAAAAGTTTGTTTAAAAGAAATAAAACAAACAAACAAACAAAACTACCAAAAATTGAAGCAGTGAGAGATAAGCTGTTCTTTCTCTACCTCATTGCATTTTAATGGAAAAACAGCTCAGAGCAGGATGAGCATTAACGGTAATCACTGTGAAGCAGACATTTCCATTGCAGGATATTATTCATGATGGTATTAGTGAGGAATAATACATGGGGGTGGGGTGGCGGTGGGCAGCCATTACCTAGACAGGGGTGAGGGCATCTGGTTACCCCAGCTGAAACCCTACGATTTGAACTTTGACCCCTCCAGACCTCTAGGCCAGCTCTGAATTTTCTGAATCATACTTCTGACTTTCTATGAAATAAACACCTAAGTCATCACGGTAATCTCAGACAATTCAGTACGGCGTGAGCTTCTCTAAACACACAGAGAAGAAATTAGCTTTGACACATGTAAGAGCGGCAGGGGGTCCGCAGCTCGTGCTAGTTTAATATGCACTCTTAATACCCCCGTCTATTTTCAAATATGTAATTTTTTTTTTTTTTTTACAGAGACAGCTGCATCCCTTGAGACCCAGGCTTGTGCCAAGCTATGTACACAAATATACTCTTCATAAACACAGATGTGAAACGTCATGCTACCACAGAAGGAAGGCATGAATATTCGGGTGTTGAGTGGCCCCACACCCAAAAGTTTCAGAAGTCAGAGAGGAGACTGTTCATTCTGTGCTTTAATCCAAACTCTATAGAGATGACCCCATTTTCTTAGCATCAGTCTGCCCTCTGTCCTGATGACCTGAGTTGAGTTTTAATCTGTGGCCAAGGGGAACCAAGACAATTGTGCTGTTGGTTCCTCAGAGGGAGAGAGAAGAGAGTCTGGGAATCCCTAAGTCTTCCCAGACCTGCGGGGGGTGGGTGTGGGGGGGGAGGGGATTGACACACCCACCCAGAACTAACCAGCCAGGGGTGCAGCTCGGTGGCTGTAGGGACGACCCAGGCCTGAGACCCTTGCAGTACACACAGGAAGAGACAATTGGAGACACATGGGAAACCTGAGTCCCCGGGCGGGCGGGGGGTGGGGTGGGGGGGTGATGACTTTTTTTCTCTGCTTAGTTGCCCATCCCCTTGGAAAGTGTGAGCAAGAAAGTTGTGCCCGGTCCATGGCGACTGAGGCTGGGGTAGGGAACGAGGGCCAGAGGTGAAAAGCCTGGGTTTCCTTACCTTGTCTTTGGGACCCAGGTTTTGCAGGACCTCCTTGCCGGTAGCGCTCCGGATCTCCACCCCAGCGGACTTGGGCGACTCAGGCGCTGGCTCCCTGGTCTCGTCCCGACCCTGGCTTCTGCGCGCGTCCCCCTCCACCCCGGGCCGGGTCCCTGCGCCGCGGCCACTGCCCTGGCTGCTCCGGGGAGTCTTGGCGCCGCGCTGTCCCACACTCAGAGCATCGAAATCCAATGTCTTGCTCTCGAAGGCGCCCTCCACGTTGCAGAACATGCCTCCGTACTTCTGCCGTGGGACCTGATCTGTGGTCCCCGGCCGGGCCAAGTACACAGGCAGGTCGTCCTCGTGGGAGCTGTCCCAGCCCCTTCGGCCCGAAGCCATGGTTCAAGCGACAGTGGCTCACAGGCTTTCTTCTTCAGAGGCTGGAAAGAGCAGCAGCCGGCAGCACACACAGAGCCACAGTGGTGGGGCGGGAGGAGGCGCCAGAGCCTTCGCGCCAGAGGCGGCAGTGCAGCTCCGGTTCCTGACTGTCCCCAACTAGCCAAGCTAGCTAGCCCAAGCCCCAGCTCCCATAGCCCCCGGGACCGCCCGCCTGCTCCAGCCGCACCTCCTGGGCCACCCCCCTACCCGGGCCGCCCTAATGCGGCCTCAGCTCTGGTCCCAAGTCCAAATCCAAACTTGTCGCGCGCACAACGCTCCTGGGTCACGCTGGCTCTCCGAACATGATTCACACTTAGATACAATTCAGATGTCTTAGAAATCAGACTGAAAAACTCAGCTACATAGGCACACAAACCCTATGTGCATCCTTGAACTCCTGGCGCGCGCGCGCGCACACACACACACACACACACACACACACACACACACACACACACACACACACCTACCTTTTTGATCCTCTTGTGGACACAAAGCAAATTGTTCAAGATGTTTGTATCTAGAAGCTAACTACACAAACTTACCATAGACTCCTGGTCCTAGCCACAGTCTTAAAATTACACACGGTTCCAGAATTGCCTCGAAAACCTTCACCTTCACACACCAAGTTCCAGAACGGGATTACAAGTAAACATTCAGCACACGCACATCCACAGATATGCATACATATTCAAGCACATGCCAGGGCAAGATGAAAACCCTCTAACTCCACTAGCAATCACAAAACATCTGTAATTATCTCACCTAAACCTACCCTGAACTCACATATGCCATCTCAGACTTCACTTTTTACCAAACTTTAATTTGCCTCAGACACAATTACACTGAATCACAGGCAAGCATATATTCCCACATTTTATCGAGCAAATGTTTATAGTGAGTATCTTGTCCATCAAACAAACTCTAGGCTTATACCTCACACAGAGACGGAAGTCAATATTCACCTCTCAGAATCTTGTAGGTTCACACACAAGCCTAGATTTACCTCAAAAACTGGACAGGCAAAGGTTTTGCTTTCTGTTTTACCTAAATCAAGAGACTTTACCTCAACATTCACACATGCCCTTTCTGCAATCCACCCACATAGACTCTGACCCAGGTGTTGTCACACAAAATAGAATCTACCATCCACAGAATTCACATCTCATCTGTACAAACTGCCTAAACCTAGAATAACCAGTTCCCTGATTCCCTTCTCATAAGTGCATTGTTTACTCAATTGACATGGGTCAAGTGCCTCTGTACTGTTCATGGAGCCCTAGAACAACAGTTACCTAGACAGATAGGAACCTGTGCTCACCATGCCTGAAAGCTATCCATCTAGGCCCATTTGATACTTTACTTTACAGACCCAAATTTACTCTCAGAATTCATTTCCTCCCACCTCCTAAGCTCCTAAGCTCCACAAATGGGTAACTTTGCTTTGTTGAGTTCATCTTCTTTGTGTATGTTCTGCACAACACATAAAAGATACTCCATGTGTCACCTTTAATAATGATAGTTTGGGGGGGGCATTTATGGAGTTCCTGTAACTGTTCTCCATAGACTCAGTGTTTTTGAGTATGTAGCAGCCCTTTGTGGACACAGGTGATCTTCAAAGACATCTGCACTGGATTTGATGAACCAAAACACTAAGTGCCAGTTTCAGAGTAGAGTATAACCCTAGGAACTGTGACACAAAAGCACCTCAAAGGCAGGGTTATGCCAGTCACAGAGGATTGGGGGAATGAGAGTTATCCTGAAGTAAAAGCAAAGGCAGGTATGTTAATGTAAGGTACACCTAAACTCAGTGACTAGAAAAGGCACTTGCTAGATGCCCCATGCACTATGAAAACGATGCCTTATTTCTTAAGCATCCTCCAAGTACTGGATTCTTTTAAACAACTGCTAGTTACTGATGAACCTATAGTTTCATGTGAGAAATTGGTGCTACATCTCGCTCCCATCACTGTTCAGGCACTTATTTCCTTGTAACTTTCCCATTAGTCTTAGTGCCTTCGGGTTCTAGAACTGTGCTTTGAGCATTGATGCAGGGCCCCTCTTCTGTGGAACTCAGTTTTCGTGAAGTGAAACAGATGGAAACAGGGCAGATGACCATAGAGGTCTAAAGAATCTATCAGGCATTCATAGCACCAGGGTCTGTGCTAAGGGCATTTCTTGCAACATGTTCACCAACCTTAATAGATATTGCAGGTCAGGTATCATTATTTATTTATTTTTGAACACAACAGTTTCTGAGCAAATGCCCCATTTGGACAAAGTCCTAACTGTAGCAAGTTATATATGAATAATATAAAGTTCCTTTGAGAGGGTGCATATTATAATGTAGATGCACACTAGCAAGACCTTATGTGTATTGCTGCTAGCAAACATGCACAACAGACTGTGTAGTTGTGTAGGTGCACTCTCATTTTATAGTTCTGTTTTCTCATTGTTATGCATAATGTGATGTGCATGCTGCAAATTATATTTGTGTCCAAACATCACATTTCAGCATCAACTGCTTTATGTACACACATGTAACCAATTAAGCAAGCAAAGCAGTCTATTATCTAAAACACCAAAGTAAAAATGGTTGCTCTGACTTCAGTTCTGCAAGTATGTGGTCTTAGGCATGTGTCATGTTTCACTGCTTTGTATATTTTTCCTATATGTCTGACCCCCAAAGGTTTATCAAAGGTCCAGACTTTGAGTAGTATGTCATGCTATAAGTTTCATATGCATTGACTTCAGCCATAATAATCTTAATATAATGAGGTAATTGTCATTCCCCTTTTCATATCCAGCAAGGAAAGTAAGGATTGGATATATTATGTTACTTGTCCAAAAGATCAGCTCTAGCACTTTGAACTGGAGTGCAAACATTCTACTGGCTGATAGTTCTTAAACATAACTTTATGGTAGAGCTCTCTCAAAATGACCAGAGAAATCATAATCAGGGAGAAAGTTTGCATGTTAAACAATAACTCACCCTAAGCACCTACCTTGTTCATGGGTGCAAGATAACTTTAAGACAAGGACTCATACAAAGAAATATCCTGCCACCTAGATGTCCCAGCCTCAGGAACACATGGCATTTGTGTCATATCTCTTTTCAGTAAGAAGATAAACATGACAATCACACACAGGAACAGCAGTCTGGCTGCTGGCCCTTAACCTACCCTGCCCAAGAAAGTAGTGACTCTACACAATGCTCAAAATAGTGAACTACTTCCTAATTCAGGCAGCTGAATAGGGCTTTCAACTTGTCACACCAGATCAAATTTGCATTTCCTGTAACTGCAGTAAATCCCATGCCACTTTGCATCAGGATGACTTGTGATAAAAGTCCATAGCATATCCGATTATAATGTCAGAGAAATGTCTTCCGGAGGCATCTTCTATTACCCATAGATCAGCAGAAGGCAAGAATGCTTCAGAAGTCAGCAATAGCATGCATATGCAATCTCTATGAGGCAACACAGAATAATTCTACTTAAAGGCAAATTTTACCACACATTCTTGTAAGACAAAAATAATAACCAACAGAATATAAAATGTATCACTCATTAAGGCTGTAGATGCATGTTCAAAAATCAAGGGAAAAACAAACTGTTATACAGTTTGCATTGACTCGACAGTAAACTTATTGATTACTTTTTAGAGGTTTTTGTTTTTGTTTTTCTGGAATTGGTGTTTTTCCTGCATGTATATCTGTGTAAGGGTGTCAGATCTTGTAGTTACAGACAGTTGTGAGCTGCCATGTGGGTGCTGGGACTTGAACCCAGGTCCTCTGGAAGAACAGCCAGTGCTCTTAAACTCTGAGCCACCTCTCCAGCCCCCTTTTTAGAGTTTTTATTGAATAATCATAAACTTAACTCTACAACTAAACCTAAGGAACATAAGGGACTTGAAGAACAACTAAAGTACAAATACAAGGGTTGCAGGTTATTGTAAGCAAGTAGATTGAAAGAGCATATCTCTGAGCTATAGAAGGGCTGGTCTTGCAACTGAGATAGATAAATCAGATGTATTAAAGTTGGCTGTGGTCACAAGGGTGATCTCATCTCCTTACTGGTTTGTCCATTCCTGAGCCCAAAGTGCCCCACGGCTTCCATCTTACTCATAGCTTCTTCACCTAAAAGGCTGAGTGTCTGCCATACAGCCATTCAGTCTGACATCACTGATGAAAAATTGAGTATCACTTGTGGTCATTTAGTATTTTTTTTCTGGACAAGGTGCTGGAACATGTAGACTTTGGTATGAAACTCTCATCAAGTTCCTCATCCTCCCCCTGGACCTGTTCTAGTGTTGTTATGGCATCAGAGTCACCATTTTGGTACATGAGGGTCCTGGAATATTTGAGGATTCTTGCTTTCATTTTGTTTAGGGGGACACAGGATCATGTTATTTATCTCAGGCTGGCCTTGAACTGGTGACACTCTTGCCTCAGCCTCCCAAATGCCTACACTTGTAGCCTTCAATACTTCCAAGCAACCAGGGGACCTTAAAGCCAAATCCTCTCTCTTTGGGGATCAGAGTATAAATGTCCCATGCTGTTTTTGAAACTGTGTGTATAAACAGCTCAAAAGAGATGCAGCCTTAGGGCTCATGGTTGACAATGAGGATGAAGAGTAGTGGTCCAGTTAACTGTGGTTGGCAGTGGGCAGCTCCAGGCGACAGTAGCAGCTGCAAGATTTTTGACAATGAATTTAATTATTTCTAAATATAACCCATCATTTTCTGTTATAAAAACTTGAAATTACATCATCTTTTTCATGTTTCATGGACAGAAAGTGAGAAAACTTTATTTCCAACTGGAAACACCAGATATAAATGAGGCAGTGTTTATAAGATGTTTGATACTCTTCCTGATGTACAGTGAGCACCAAAGACCAATTCCTGATTTCTCCCTATGTCGGACACATGGTAAATTCTGTGCGCAAGGTTTATATTGACCATGCTGTATATCTTTAAC